CCCCGAAGACTTTGTGCTGGCTGAGCCGTGATGGCCGTGTCACCATGTGCTGGAAATGGCAGGTAAGGACCAGTCGTTTGTGATTTGCCTCAATGCAAAAACGGAGAGGCAGCAAATGAAGGAGCCAGGGACCGCGACAGGAGATGGACCTCTGGATCTCAAGCATTTGCTATCAGCACTGCTGAAGGACCCCACTGGACATTGGTCCCCATCGACACAGCACGGGAAGTTGTGACCCTTCTCCTGCTGCACCCAAAATTTGGGTCTCCTGCTGTGAGAGCCAGGAAGGGCAGCTCGATATATCAGCAGGTTGGCTGGAAATGGATGCTGCTGTTGGAGTAGAAAGCAATCGTGTTTGAGGGATCGTTGATTGGGTCAGGATGGGGTACCTCCCGCTGGGGCTGTTCCCTCCGGGGCAGGACGAGGCTGCGGGCTGCTGAGGAGGGTCCTGAGCCTCCCATCACCCTGATGCCTCCTGAAACAGGTCTCAGGCTTGGGTAACTGGGGCTGGAGGATGCTGTGCAGCAGAGGTGTCTGGTAGGATGGTGCTCAGCAGGTAGAGCCCAGCATCTCCCTATGCAACACGGTGCAAATCCATGCCTCAGTTTCCCCTACTAGCAGGAGGCTCAGCAGCAGGTTTGAGCAGCCTAAAAGCAGTCATTTTATGGAGTCATTTTAAAGGAGGCATGGAAATGTTTGCCTAATGAGGAGGAGGGCAGGGGAGCTCGGCCATGGTCCAGCTCTGCTGGTGCTGGGAAGGGAGCACATTGTTGGGGACTGCAAGGGGCCAAACTATTTCCAAACAAACCTGGAAAATCTGGACAACCCTTGGTGGACATCCCCATGGGAGCATCGCTGAGGGCTCCAGCCAAGAGGATGAACTTGGGTGTGGGTGACCACCATGGATAGATCCAGAGCCACAAGCGTGAGCGACTCTTGGTCATGGGACCGACCCATCACCGCTCCTTGCAGATGCCCATCTCCAGCACGTTGAGGATGCACAGATCTCTGCTGCCTTCGGCACAGCCCTGGGGCTCCTCGAGGAGCAGCCAGAAAAACCTTTTCTCCAGAACTGAACAGACAGGCTCTTCGATGGGATCCATGGGAGATGCACTTGCATCTCTGATCTTTAGATTTCTTCCAAACTGGAAAAATCCAGCCCTTTGAAAATTTCATGAGGATGTCAGAGAGCTGCCCGTCTCTCGCCGCCATGCGCTTTTGAAAGCCATTTAACACTGACTGCAGTGACAAATGTCAGCGGGAGGCTGGCGCTGGGGGAGAGAACAGTGAGAGAGAGGGCATCGGAATTAAAGAATGAAATATTTATTTGGAGGTTTGGCAGTGCTGGAAGGATGACACATCAGAGGCGAGAGGCATCGTGGGGCGGACAGCGCTGAAAACCACAAATGAGTCTATCGGGCTATAAACCACCACGAGATTTCCTCTCCATCTCTGCCTCCCTCCCCTCCCCGGATCGCTGCCAGCCTGGGAAGGGACAGGGAGGGTTAAACATCCAGGAACGGCCCAAAGCTGTAGACAACCAGAATGAAATGCGGCGTCTGAGCCAGGGTGGAGGAAGGGGAATGACAGTCCAGCTTGGATTTAAATACAAGCTATAAACCCTCCAACTCATGGACAGTGCATCATGCCCATGGTGGTGGAGCAGGAATTGGGAACTCCTGGCTCTGGCAGTGGGGATGTTTGCCTAGGGCAGCCTGGTTGCAAGGTGGGATAAAAGCTCAGATCCTCCACAGAGGATCAGGATCAAGAGCTTTCCTCTCCCTCCATTCAGGCTCTGGATGGCAGATTTTCTTCTTTACTGGCTCGTGCTTTGCTGGGTCTGTAGCCCACGGCAGCCAGGACCCCCGAGCTTTGACCCTGAGTGGTAGGGCTAAAGCTGAGGAGCGACTCCAGGACTGGAAGCAACCTCCACGGTGGGTTTAATGTGTTAATCAAATAAAGAAGATAAATTAAAGTCCATCTCTGTGTGCTGGAGAGGCTCCTGTGCATCTGCCTGACTCCCAGCCTGGGATGTCCCTTAGCACCACGTGGTCCCATCCTTAGGGTCCCACCTGGCCTCTCCCAGCCCTGAGAGGTGCCAGGATAACATCAAGGGTTAATGCAGGATTATCTCAAGAGGCTACAACCTCGTCAAGAGCACAGGATTGGCAGGTCATTAATCTCAGAATTACTCCTGTAATTATTATTTATGTGCATGGTGCTTACCAAATTACAGCGCTCTCCAAGGCTCTGTGTGATGAACAAATTAATTCCGCAGCGGAAGAGCTTGACCAGAAAGAGATGTTTGTGTCTGAATTTCACTCGTAAACATTGATGTATGAAATGAAATTCGAGTTTAATTGGCCCTCCCTCCTGCTGCGAAGCACATTACATTTTTATTCTGTCTTAGCTCAGCTGGTGAGAAGGAGCAACATGGAAAACTTGGAGGAATTTCTTTAGCCCTGATGGTACTTGCGTGGGAGACCCACACGTTGTCTCATCAACACCCCCTTGGATGAGATGGTGTTGGTAGCTTCACGGAGGGCCTGTATCCCACCTCCACGCTATGGGCATGTGGGCTTGGGGTAGAGAGGAGGCAAAAAGCCACCGGCTGCCCCAGGTGCCTCTGTAGCCAGTGGGATGCTCAGCCCACTGCAGCACGAGGATGCTCCCATGGAAAGTGGGGAGGGACCATGCTGGGGTTGTCTTTTCCAGAAGATAAACATGCTCCAAAAGTCCTTGTGAGAGGAATCTAAATAATTTTAATCAAACAAGGTTGAGAATACACACACTTCTCCAGCTACGGAAAGCAAAGTCATGTTAGTTGGAGCAGACCACCGAGAGGAGAAGGAAAAAACAGCGATGTGAACACAGATGCTTCTGTTTGGGTTTCTTTCTTTGGTTTTTCAATTTCCAGCTTCTTTTTTCACCACAAATGACCCCTCTTTAGAAAAAATCCAATGATGTAGCACATCACTTTTTGGTAACATCACTTGTATGTACGATGAAAAAAGGGGCATTTTCCCTTCTCCATAGCCAGCAGATCTTTATTAGCTCCTGCCAAAGCACCCAGCAGAGAAATCAAACTGACCCACGGTGGAGACACACAAGTCTGCTCCTTGTAGAGCATCAGCAGAAAGCATCCGTAAAGCTGGAATCTGCCAGTTTTCCTATGGCATAACTCTGGGGATCTTTTCCTCACCCATATATGGGATAAGGGGCAGTTTCTGGGACTGTTGGTGATGGATGAGCTTGTACAAGGACCAAACCTGCCCCATGTGCAGGGTATGGTCCTCGTTGTGGTCACTCTGTCATACAGGGAGCTGTCGCTGCTCCCAGCATGTTATTGGAGGCAATAGGGTAGTTATGGTTTTGGCTGCACAGTGGACATGCAGGTAGGAAATCTCAATGGGAGGGCAAGTGGAGGAATTTGCTTCAAAGTATTGAACGTCTCAAATGTTTAAAGGAGGAACCTGGAGGTTTTTGCCTATGCCTCCTTTCAAAAAGAACAAAAGAAAAATTTTATTCCTTTCTGGTGGTGTATCCTGAGGAAATCACAGAGTACTACAATTTCAAAGATGCTTAAATGTCCCCAGGGCAGGAAATACTTATGCCTGTTCTTTATAGTGGGGAAACTGAGGCACAGAAGTGTGAAGGGACTCATACCAGACCCTGTAGGGCCCCAGTGGCAAAAACCCTGGGCTACAGAGAGCAGACTTGGCTCGTAACCCCTCTGGCATCCTCCTCCTGCCCGAGCATCCCCAGACCTCATACAGGGCAGGGAAAATGTGGCTCCAAGGAGGCCAGGGCAAAACCCTCCACTTTGCATGGACCTCTCTGCTCAGATGCTTTTGGTGACCACATGGAACAGAGCATCAGGGGCAGATCAGGGACTTGGCAGCTGCACAGGAGACAATCTGAGGTCCCCACAACGGGGAGGGAGGCTGCTGCTCCTCCAAGGCACTTAACCCCAGCATGGGAAGGAGTTGGCCCCATCCCCTGCCTAAGAGCAAGGAGCAGCTTTGGCACTGAGCCCACGTGCATGGGTAAAAGCAGGGCAGGGAGGAGGGGAGTAAAGCCATGGTGTGTCCCTACGGTAGCTGCCTTTGGGGAGCTCAGCCACCACTTCACTGCAGTGCTCCCTCGGCTTTCCACCCCTCGAACAGGGACACGGAGTCAGCCTGAGGTCCAGGGGCTTTGCAAAGGCCTGTAGACCCATCTGGGCTGGGATGGACCACAGGCTTAATTAAACCTCATGCCTCTCTTCAGACCAAACCCCCTCTGTGTGGCTGTTCAGAGCCCCTGGGACACATCCCTGTCCCCTGCATGGTTCCCTCCCCTCTCCCACCCCGTTGCTCTGCCTCACATCCTCAGTGACGAGATGAGAAATGACCTGGTCAGACCAAGCAGCAGTTCCAGGACGTCCCAGGGACCTAGCAAAGGGCAGGGGAAGGGCTCAAATTACCCCAGGGGTACAAAAACACAGCCACATAAAGCAACATCTGCAATCAGTCCAGGGCTCTCCATCCATTCCCCCTCACCCCAGAGGGCTTTGGTCCCCCCAGCAGCATCCCAGCATCCACTCACTGGAAGGCTGACCCAGCTTCCCAAGGGATGAGCCCCGTAAGCTGTCCCAGCAATGTCCTGGTGTCCTGTCACCTCAAAGCAGTAACAAACTTGAGAGAGGCAGCGATGGGACATGGGGCATCGTGCCCAGGAATGAGGGAGGCAGGGAGGCTGCTGCAACCTCTCTGGGCTCCTCCGGCTCTTTCTTCCACCCGAGCAGGTCACACCGCTGCCAGGGAGATGACAAAGCAGCATCTCAGCTGTCCTAGCCTACAGGTCTGCCCCAGCAAGTGGGACAGGAGCTTCTGTAGGGTTTCCCACAGCTGCGGCGAGTTTGTGCACCCTCTGCGAGACTGGTGGGTGCAGGCAGGACCTGGCTCCTGTGCTGTGCCATGTCAGGGGTCCCACGCAGCGGGGATGCTGGGTCCCCCATCCCATATGGCAGCTCACTCCCAGCTCAGACAGCCGTGGATTGCTTGATGCTGTGGAAGCTGACACGGGTCGGGGAGGTGGGGATGGACATGGCCCGAGCCACACGGGCACGGATGGAATGTTTGTCCTGCCATCGGTGCCACCGCTTCCGTACAGCTGATCGGACCTGGGGGTGCAAGGCAGAGGAGGGGACATTCAGTCACTAAAGTTGTTCAGAGGCACCAGCCATCCTCATCCTCAGTCTTTCAACCAAAAATGCTACTGAAACCCTGCTTGGATCCCCAGGGGTGGGGAGGGTCCTGGGAGCCCCTGTTACCTCCCAGGGCACCCAGCCTTGTTTGATGTGACACTGGTGAAAAGCAGCCCTTGCAGTTGTGAAGAGAGATGAACCCAACCGATGGTGCCTCTGAGCACAAAATGGAAACAAGAGGGAGAAATAAATCTGAGCGGGGGCTCCGCAGGACAGCCAGCATCTTCCATGCTGCATCGGATGCTGCAAGGGGCTGGGAGAGGTGTGACTGACAGTCAGGGAGGTTTTATGGCTTGTCTGGTTCATGCTAGTGGCATTTCTTCAACATTAATTCCACCCTACAACAGCCCAAGTGCTTTGTGTGGCAGGTAAATACTGAAGAAATGCCTTTTCGTCAACTGCATCGTGGGATGGCCCTGGGAGATGGGAACTGGACGCAGGTGGCTGAGACAGTGTGGTTGGGTGAACACCGAAAGACCCAGCCAGCCCAGCTGGGATTGAGAGATGGACCACGAATTGCACAGTGTGATATGCTCCCGAGTCACCAGCTAGCCCTGGTCCAGTCCCTTTTCCTTCTGCATCAGTTATATATGATTTGGTGACAAAGCAAGCTTGTCTGGGGCTTTCCTGAGCCAGCAAAGGTGCAAGAGCATCTGGGAGGAGGCAGAGGAAAGAGCTGCCCAAATGATTGGCCTCTACTCTCACCTCCTTTGCTTTCTGCTGTCTGTGTTTTGGATCAGAGCCCTGGAGGTGTCCTCGTCCATGTGCTGGGTACCCACATGTGTCTGGGGATCAGCCTGGGGAAGGATTTCCCAGGGATGGGGGGACCCTTGGCTCTTGGGCTGCACCAAATCCCAGGAGTGCAGCCCCTAGAGCATCTGTTCTCAGGAGTGGATTTTCCTTTTTCCAAAGGAGGAGACCGATAGTAGCCATTCCCACAGGCACGGTCTGTGGCTGCAGATGTGCCTGGAGCTGGAGGTAAAGCACCGACTCTGGTCAGCAAACGCCTTCAGCTGGGGCATCCCCCTGAAAGCCCTCTGCAGGGGCAGAGCTTCGGGCTGAGCTTGTGTCTGCTTGCAAGGAAGGGTGTAGACCCCCCCAAGCACCCCCCAGCCTCCAGTGCTCACCTCGCTGTTTAGGAAGCAGTAGAAGACAGAGACGAAGAAGCCCTGGAAGGAGACAAGCAGCAGAGTCACCACAGAGCTACGGCCAGCAGGCACCCCAGGCCCAGGAGCTTTGGAGCAACCCTGGGGTTTGGGGATGTCTGCTTTTGGGAGGGGGCAGGAGTGGAGTGAGGCATCATCCAGGACATGATCCTCCACATCCCTTGATGGGGTGACTGGGATGGAGGCTAGTGCTGAAGACCATACCTGGAAGGACTCCAGAAAGGAGTTGAAGTAGATGAAGACGATCCTGGAGATCTCATCCTCCCCCGGGTTGACAAAGAACAACATGTAGGTGATTCCCAGCAAGGGCAGCAGCACCAGCGTGGCCTTGACTGCTTTCCTGAGGAGAAAACATGGACCTGAGCTGCTGCGGTGCAGCCTTGCCCACGAGGACTTTCCCCCATCCTGCTCCCAGCACCAGTATGGCTGGGACCGGTCCTGCTGGGTCTGAGCAAACCGGTGACTGGGTGAGGATGGAGCAGAGCTGAGCTGTTTTCCAATGCAATCCCCAAGTGACTGAGTTGGTTTGAGCACTGGGCACCTTCTGAGGTGTCTCCATCCAGAAAAGGGCAGTGGCAAGTGGAACCCTGACCTTGAACTGGCATGAAATGATTGCTTGGCTGATCTAAGGCTCGATTAAAAAGGAATTAAGGAGGGTAAAATAATTCACACCCTTCAACATGGATTTATGAAAAACTTATCTCAGCTGATTAATTTGATATCTTTTCTTGATGAGATTACAAGTGGGGCTTGGCATCTCATTTGTTTGGATTAGGGGACAAGAACAATGCCAAGTCAACACTTTTTGCTTAAAGATGCTGTTAATGGACAGGTTCCAACATTAGCTGAACACAGGAAAAGTCATCCCTGGCAGGGCTGGGCTGGGCAGGGCTGGCGCCTGGGACCTGGGCTGCATCGCTGCCTGGGAGGAGAGCCACGGCCTCCGACACAAACTGGCAGATGGCACGCAGGAGCTGGAAATAACCCAGGACATGAGCATCCTCAGGCTGGCAAACTATGGGACAGCACATGCACCGGTGTAGCTTCTCCAGGAGCGCAGCCATGGTAGCAGGGGATCCATCAGCTTTTTACCAAAAAACATCGTCTTAAGGCGAGCGGGACCCCTCCAGGGCTGTCCCTTGCCTGGTTTAAGCAGGACTGCACAGTTTATAACCTATCAGACTCTCCAAGTTTTCCTGTCCCACAAAATGTTTCTGGGAAATGAAAATGTTCTTCTGCCCAAAGATGAAAAGCCTTGCCTGCCAAAATCAGGCAAATACTGGAAAACCAAAAGTCTCTCAAAACTGCTGACTGAGGCCAGCCAGCCTATTTCAAGAAGCTTTATCCTTGCTCACCCCAAGCTGAATCGTTCGTTGCAACTCAATACTCCATGATGAGGAAAGCTGACATTTCCTAATCTTAGCATCTGAATTTTTCCATTCTCAGCTCAAAAAGCCACCTTCCACCTTAAACCTGCATCTCTTGACCCAGCACAAAGTGAGATTCCCCTATTCCTGCCCAGAAAATGATCCACAGAGAAGTATTGATGAAGACCAAGGTGTCTTCTCCTGTCCCAGATACTTCGGAGAGCTGCTCTGACGGTGCACTTCCCAAGCTGTCTGCAAAGTATTCCCCAGCAGGGAAGGGTTAAATCTTCCTGCCTTGTGCTGCTGAGAGCGCTGCATTCTCCTTGCGGCTTCCCGAGGAGGTGTTTGGGGTGGCATCGATTCATTATTCCTTCCTCGGCCTTTGCTTTGCTGCCAAGCGGCGATTTAATTCTCACCTCCGTGCCAGGATTTGCAGCTCTGAGCCTGGCGACCTGATCAGGTCCCACCAGCAAAGGCTTTTGCAAAGAGACTCGGCTCCCAACAGCTCCCTTCAAAGGCACACCCAGCCATCCGTGTGCTCCATCACAAAGCTCTCACTGGCCAGGATTTTTGAACAACCCCAGATGCAATGGCCATGTGCCTCCAAAAAGCCTTTGAGGTGCTCTGAGATACCTCTCCATGCTCTCATCCCCTTGATACTTAGCTGATGGGGCTGTTCCTGTCCCCCCTAATCATGCGAATGCAGTTTCTAATCATGCTTTCTGCAGGGTTGCTCGTGCTCTTACCTGTACTGGATCGTCTCTGATGTGGTTGAAGCTCGGAGCTTTGTCATGAGGATTCGGACGATGTTGAACAGAAAGATGAAGTTGATCTGGAAGGAAGAGGGCACCCGGTTAGTGTCTGCTCCCCCAACGTTTCCTCCCATTTCCTCGGCAGAGGCAATGGGCTGTGCCAGGGGAAAGGTGGATGTTTCCTCTTGATCTACCGCCTTCCGTGCACCGGAACGGGACATCTGCATTTATCGTTTTTGAAACACTTTAGCACTAAGATTTAGGAGTTGGTTCAAGGGAGTGGGGCAGCACAGCACACCAGGAGATTGGCAAAAAAGGGCAAGTGTTAGAGAAAGGGCTGAAGGTGAAAAAGTTGGAAGGGCAGAAGGAATATAAGGTAGCCGAAGGGATTTTGGGAAAGCGGCTGCCATCACAGCAAGGAGCC